GAAGAAAGCTTTACACTGGGTCATCCCTGCCCTTGCAAGGCACCACTTTCAGCAGGATCAACTCTTGGGCTTTTTGCTAAATGAACTATTTCTTTTTCTTTAAATTTGCATATACTATCATCTTCTGAAGTGTTCATCAAGAATTAATCATTCTACTCATTATTTTTACACAATATAAAAATTAATAAAATAAAAAATGTGAAGGACTGATTTAAAATTAAAACATTTTCATATTTTGCTAAATAATATTTAATATTTTAAGGTAAGAAATAATAGAAATTTGATAACCAAGATTTTTATTAAATTACAGTGTATTACAATTTATATCCTAATAGTAACCTTTGTATCTTTGGGGTAAAATGATATAAAAACCTGGCTGGTCATATTACTTCTTGAGTTTCTTTTGGGCAGCTTTCTTCTTGACCATCTGTAATCGCTTCATAGCATTGAGCTGTGATTCTTGTGAAGTTGGACCTTTAAGGGATGCTGAGGGACTGCTGCTGGATTCTGAAGTTGTTTTGCTAGTGGTATTTGCGCTGGGCCCTGATGTACCACTATTTCCATTTCCACTTAGTTGGCTGCTACTTCCTGGAACTAAACTACTGGGACTGGGAAGACCTACTTTGCTGACATTATCACAACTAACTGAGCGACTAAGGCCAGTTTTTCCTAAGGTTAGAGGTGGAGGGGGTTTCAATGGCACAGTGGGTGTACTATTATTACCAGAACCTATTTTGGAACCTATTCCACCTTTGGATGATGTTGCCAGACCAGTCAAACCCACAGGTTTCTGGTTGGCTGATGAGGTAGCAGGTTTTCCACTATTGTTTTGTGTTGTTGAACTTAATTTTGTTGTTGATGGACTGGCAGAGGAAGTTTTGGCTGCAAAAGCTGCCCATGCAGTTAGGCCACTAGTTGCTGAAGAGGAAACATTGGTACTAGAAGAATTTCCTGAAATAACTGGAGGTGTCTAAAAAAATAAAATAAACATTACATTAGAGCCGAGTATAATCAAAACCTATATAGTATCCTTGAATATATAACATATTTACTTTTTAGTCATTTTATACAAAAG